GAGAAGGTAGCATGTTGGGGGCTTTGTGTCTAATATGGGACAAAAATAAGCATGGAAGAAGAAAAAGAGAGGGAAATGTCAATCTCTTGAAGAAGATATAATTATGTGGATACTTCTAGTTTAAGAAGTAACTGGAAGAAAGAATAGTCACTGGGTAGCTGGTAGGCAAGAAGGAATGGTTAGAGCTGAAAAGGCACCAAAGAGAGTTCTCTCACTTTAAAGTGTTTTCAAGGGTTCTGCTCAGTTCCAGAGATCACATGAGAAGAAGATCATCCCATCAGAAAATAGGTTTCAAGTGGAAATGAACTACCAAGTAGCTTCTCATTAGGCCCAGAAAAATCCATAGACAGGAAATATGGATTTGTGTGTGTGTTTGTGTGTATACATATATATAATTCAAATCTGAGACTGAGACATGATCTCCATGCCCCAGGTAAAGATGGCAGAAAAGGGGGTGTATTTTCCTTCAAATTCTATAGGGTAAGGGTCCAAATCCACACCAGCAGTTCTTTTTTTTCCTTTTTCCCCTCCTTTTCCTAAGATAGGGACCTACAGACAGTTCTCTAAGTTGAACAAAAATTACTTTGAGTGATTTGACACAGACCAGTAGATGCAAAGGGTGCATGAACGAGCGAGCAGGGTGTACTAGAGTAACAATACAGAGCATGATTTAAGAAATTCAAATGTCTGGATGTATAGCAAACACTGAAGTTACAAAACATAATCACTGCTTAATTTTACATATTTAAACCACTCTGATTTGAATAGACATTTATATGTAAAAACATCATATTGTTATAAAATAATAATTGCCTTAGTCTTCTTAACAAAGTAGCACAACAATTTTCCAGTACACAGTACCCAAGCAAACACACATCTGCTAAATCAAGACTCAGATTCAGACCCTCCTCAGCAGTGGCATGGTCTTAAGGGGTTGTGATGATGCTCTTTACCTTCCATTATTAAAAGCTTTTTCAAAAAATTGTGATGTCACTTGGCAAAAGCAGCCTTGATCATGTCAATTCCTTTCTCTGTAGAATATGGTCAATAATAATGCCCCACTTGCCTTATAAGGTTGTTGTGAGGACCAAATTATGGGAAAATGCTTTGCGAACCAGAAGGTTCCACACAAATGTTAGTTACAGTAGAGCTCCTGGTTAGGTTATCCTTATGTTTTCCAGGCAGGAAGGCAGTAAGAAAGCTGGCATTTATGTAGGACTTCTATATGGTATGTCATCTCACTCAATACCATCTCAGGTAGTGAGTGATCACATCCCATTTTACATCTAGAGCTCACTGAGGCTTAAGTAACTTACCTAAGGTAAGTCACCTAGAAAGTGGTAAAACTAGGATTTGAACCTGTCTACCGTCTCAAAAACCCAGGTATTCTTAGCACGAGCTTTAACACCTAATTGATTACTTAGGTCTTGGAAAGAAAAATGAATGAGAGTATCTGGTTTTTTATAACCATAAAGCCTCTTATCACCACCCTCATACTCAAGCTTTCCGCTGTTCCAATATATCACATAAAATGTGTTAAACCTTCCGAAAGGGCTAAAGCCAGTGGGATGAAACACTCAGTACTGCATTGTGGAGTAGAGCTCAGGTAATAAAAACAAAGGCAGAGATAGTCAGTTGTTACAAAAGTAAACCATTAAAACCTCAATAGCATTGCCTGCCAAAGACTGCATTCCTTAGCCCCAACTGGGCACATGCAAGCCTCAATGACCATCAATTATGATTCAGTGATCTAAAGAGCATCTTTTTATTTTGGTCTTACTGTCTTAGTCTGTTTAGTGTTGTTATAAAGAAATACCTGAGGCTCTGTAATTCATAAACAAAAGAGGTTGATTTGGCTCACGGTTCTGCAGGCTAAACAAGAAGCACGGCACCAGCATCTGCATCTCATGAGGGCCTTAAGCTGCTTCCACTGGCGGTGGAAGGTAAAGGGGAGCCAGCATGTGCAGAGATCACATGGTGAGAGAGTGGATGCAAGGTAGAGGGAGGTGCCAGATTCTTTTAAACAATCAGTTCTTGGGGCATCTCTCAAGGTAACAAAAGAGCTAGAATTTGCTCACTTCCCTTCTCCTGGAGAGGGCACTAATCTATTAATGAGAGATCCACCTCCATGACCCAAACACCTCTCATTTATCCCCACCTCCAAAACGGGATAAAATTTCAACATTAGACTTGGAGGGATCAAATATCCAAACCCCAGGACTCATCTAATATCACTCGCAAGATGCAAACTTCACTGCTTATGGGCTTGAACTGTCCCTATCTTAGCTATAAGGGCAGCAGAGGGACCACACTGCTGGTTTTTCCTGTGTGTGGTAGGGCATCTGGGCAGAAAGAAAAGGGCACATATGCAGGGGTCAGAGAGATATGGCTGTGAACTGAACTCACTGGGCACCCTGGGCCAGTCCTTGCTTATCCATCTGTAACGCTTCTTCATCTTGAAGCATTTTCCTCTGGAATAATTGAGGAGATTTAGCTAAACTGTCAGTAAATCCTTGTGAACACAGTAGGCACTCAGTAGGGTATAGCTTCTATATTAATGACTTATGAATTGGCTAATGTCCACTAGTAAGTGTTTTTGTTTTTTTAAACAAATAGATATTCTCTGTAATAGACTAAAGATAACTGCTACGAACTGTTACTCCTCTTTTCTTTGAAAAGTGAAGCCTAATTCCTCTTCCCCTGAGTTACTGTTGGTCTTACTTCCTCAGATAGTACAATGTGGCATGAGTATTATTCTGGGACTTCCAAGGCTAATTCATAATAAGTCTTCTAAGCCTTGCCCAAGTCTCATACTGGTAGCTGCCATATAAGAAATCTGATGACTCTGAAGCCACCATGTTGTGGGGGAGCCCAAACTGTCCATGTGAGAAGGCCTCAGGGAGCCCTCGGCCGTTGGAGTCATTCCAGCTTAGGTCCCAAACACTCTGCAGTGGAGGCATAGGTTCTGCTAAGTCCTGCTCAAATTACAGACTTATGAGCGAAATAAATAACTGTTATTGCTTTAAGCCACAAGGTTTTAGACTAGTTTGTTATGTAACAATGAAAAACCAGAATACTCAATCATGATTTTTTAATCCAAATTAAAAATATATTTTCATATATTTTTATCATGAGTTATATAAAATATATGAGTTACATAAAATAACATATTGTGTGTTGATGCTAGTTCTCAAGTCTATTTTAGACACAGACTAAATGTCTTAAAAACATGTTATTTGTGGACAATGTTAACATACACATAACTTAATAACTGGCTGACCAGTGACAAATACGATCTATTGTGTGTATATGCATGTCAGTAATCAGGGTGGTTTAGTGAGGGCCACTGTCTACCTCCTAACCAGCAGGAAACTACATATTCTGGACTGTCTGCATTTCCCAGCAAGCTTTGCAAACAGCAAGGTGTTAAGACACAGTTGTTTTCTGTAGTTAGCCAGATGATGTTTGAACCCCCTTCAGCATTCAGAGTTGCTCAGTATAGGAGGATGGACCTCATCATAGGATAAGTCTTATCTCTCTGGACTGCAGGGTAATTTACTGATGCCTTTCAAATAACATACGACCCTAAAATATTACGCAAACTTTGGGGCATTGAGTCCGCATGGGTGAACTCAGCAAACATTTTGCTGTTCCAAAATCTACTCTGTTGTTCTTTATTTCCCATTTTTCTGGCTACAAAGTCTTCCTCCCCTTCTCTGAGGGGTATGTGTGCATGTGTGTTTGTAGAATCCTATTTATCCTTCATATGTCTACTCTCTCATCAAGGCAGAGTTAATCATTCCTTGATGACATTGCTTCTTCAATCTTTAAAGCCTATTCTTTAGCAAACAAGCTTATCATTTTTTAAAAAAGCAACAAACTGACAGTACCATAGAACACATGGAAAAGGAACATGAGAAAGTCCCTATAACTCTTGGCGACTTTCCACCAGGCTGAAACAGGCTGACGTGATATGTGTTTTAGGGATTAGAATTCAGCAGAAGAAATGAGTCAATTAAAACACCCGGCCAGAATGCTGTCTGTAGATAAAGTGCTTTGCACTGGAGGTACAACATAAGCTGAATTACTAAATTCTAAGGGCTGACTACTGGTGATTTGCATCTCAATATCTTTTCCTTTTATTCTCTCAACAAAAGTTAACAAGGAGCCACTCAGCCTAGGAAAGATAGGTACTTAATTTACCTTAGCAAGAACAAGATAAACAACTAACTCACAATTTTCCAACTCACTGGCTTTGGTTTGACCTGGAGTGGGTAATGCCTATTGTCTTAAGTGGGTTAACTGGAACATCAAACCCACCAATTGGTTTTGGCTTTTACATTCATTCAGTAGCAATTCTAATCCCAAAGAAAGTATAATCACTACATGGCAATTGGTGCTTTGTGGCAATATACACAAAACACATGAGTGATGTGCAGAAAGTCATAATTGAACACTCTTTATTCCACCAAAAAACCAAGAAGTCATATTTTCACCACTTCTTATTTGAGAACCATGTATAACTATGCATAACACTTTAAGCCAAAGGCTGTATGGCAACAAGTTCCATGTGTTAAAAAACAGAAAACACAACACACCATTTCCTCTTCATGAGGAATCTACAGCAGGTCATCCTGGAAGAACACTAAACCAAAGGCAATAATGTTTTTGGACACTCATTCCCAGACTAACTATGCTTAACACATCAATTTAGAATTATTATAATGGAGTTTAAGTTATAACTGATGTCCAAATTACAACTATAACGGATATTAAAACTTTCCTTTGGAATTCAGGAAAAACTGACAAGCATTAACATTAAAACAGAGATCTTAGAATGAATTAATGCTTGATACTTCATCTAGATGAAGCAGAGTGAAACTTTACTGTCCTCTTTCACTGATCCAACCCTGGTCTTCATCCAAAAAGTAAGTTCTGGGCATCCAGCAAATAATGACATTGGTATATTTTAAGAAAGAAGAAATGCAGTGTCAACTTACTTAACAGCTGGCAATAGAGGGCCTGTAAACTTCTCTTCATGGTATCATCTGGTCCTGCTTATCCTCCAGTTTATTCATGATTCTGTCTAGGAAATGGGGAGAAGAAAATTGTTACATCTGAGGAACATAATTTAAAAATCAGAAAGAACTCCACTCAATAGGATCTTGGTTGTAAATCCTAACTTACCCAATTTCGAAGAGAAAAAATCTTGGGATAAATACACCACAAACAGTTTAATTTACAATGGTGTATGTTATAAAATTACCAACTAATCAACTGGTCGAACCCTGAAACTATACACCCCACTGAAGAAAGCTCATAGGGGCAGCTAGTGAGAATCTGGGTTCAGAAATGAAGACTTTTTTTCATGAATCTCTCATGAATCTCTATAATCACACGAGAAACAAAAAATTTCTTTTCTCATCTCATTTCTGCTAAGGCGCTCACAAAACAAGCAAACACCCAAATAAAACAAACAAAAAACAAGCTAGAAAGCTTTGCCACACTTGAAACTGTATTATTTTAAATAATTTTTCTATTATTTTCTGATTTCAAGGATACTTCTAGTATGGACTATTTAGAAAAAGTAAATAGAAAATACAGATAAAAATAAGCAAGAAAATATATATTATCCATAATCCCACGAATAAGAGGTGATTAGCACCCACATTTTAGAGTGTATCTCTTTAGCCTTTTGAATGTGCACTTCTATTGGTCTGTTTAATTTTATATTTAATTTTTAATTTAATTTTTCTCCCTAGCAGCAGAAATATCTTTGTGTTGTTACTATTACTTTACAATTTTATTTTACATGGCAAACTGTGTTTCTTTAAGATAAATTCCTAGAAATTGAAACGCATTATGGAAGGACATAAAGTAAGGCTTTTTGAAATAAATATATTACCAAATTCCTCCTCATCAATACCAGCATATTAGAACAACCATTAGACTACACTCTACCCAAGAAAGAAATTAACAATTTCATCTCTGCCAGTAGGCAAATATTTGGTCTCAATGTTTTAATTTGCTTTTTATGTTTATTGGCCATTTGTATATAAAATTTTTAAAATGTATATTATTTAACAATTCTCTACTAGCATGCCAGGTTTTTTGTTTTCTCATGACATCCCAAGTAGAACTACCTATCTTTAAATTTTTTAATTGAGATATAACTCATATATAAAATTCAGCCTTTAAGGTATACAATTCAGTGATTGGGAATATATTCAAAAGTTGTCCAACCATCACCACTACCTAATTCCGGAATGTTTTCATCACTCAGAAATGAAATCACCATGTTTGCTGTAAGTCACTCCCCATTTTCCCCTCTTTTGGCAACCACTAATCTATTGTCTCTATGGATTTGGCCATTCTGGACATTTTATATAAACAGAATCATATGTGTCTGGCTCTTCCACTCAGCATAATGTTTTTATTTTATTTTATGGTGTTTTTTGAGATGGAGTCTCACTCTGTTGCCAGGCTGGAGTGCAGTGGTGCGATCTCAGCTCACTGCAACCTCCACCTCCTGGGTTCAAGCGATTCTCATGCCTCAGCCTCCTGAGTAACTGGGATTACAGGCATGCGCCACCACACCCAGCTAATTTTTATATTTTTAGTAGAGACAGGGTTTCACCATGTTGGCCAGGATGGTCTTGATCTCCTGACCTCATGATCTGCCCGTCTCAGCCTCCCAAAGTGCTGGGATTACAGGCGTGAGCCACTGCGCCTGGCCTCAGCATAATGTTTTTAAGGCTCATCAATGTTATATAACATTCTAGGTTTTCAAGTGTTTTTTTAATAAGAATTCTACCTACCTCACAGACATTCTACCATGGTTAGAAAGGCCTTCCTTAGTCCAAGATTATATAAATACTTGCCCATATTTTCTTCCTGATATGGTTTGGCCATGTCCCTACCCAAACCTCATCTTGAATTCTCATGTATTGTGGGAGTGACCTGGCGGCACGTAATTGAATCACAGGGGTGGGTCATTCCCATGCTGTTCTCGTGATGGTGAATAAGTCTCACAAGATCTGTTGGTTTTAAAAATGGGAGATTCCCTGTACAAGCTCTCTCTCTCTGCCTGCCGCCATCCACGTAAGATGTGACTTGCTCCTCCCTTGACTCCCACCATGATTGTGAGGCCTCCCCAGCCATGTGGAACTGTAAGTCCATTAAACTTCTTTCTTTTCTAAATTGCCCAGTCTCGGGTATGTCTTTATTAGTAGCGTGAAAACAAACTAACACACTTCCAGTAATTTTTATTTCATTTATTACATTCTAAATGCTTTTGTATTCTTAGATATTATCAACCAAAAATAAAATTCTAAGCACCCCAACTGACTGAATGGCTTCCTCCTCTCAGTCAAGGGAATTCCAAAGAAACCTGAAAAACTAGCTCAGGCCATGATGGGAAGTGAGGGTCAGACATGCCTCATTATACTTTCTTCCCTTTGGATTTGAGGCAAAACTGACCAGCATTAACATTAAAACAGTGATCTTAGAACTCACCGAACAGATTGTTTGTAGTAACAAGATACCAAAATCCAACCTGACTCTACTTTAGCATCACAAGACAGATAGCAGGCCCTGAAAAATATCAAAGTATTTTATCCAAAAACATATTTCTTTGACATATTTTAAATGGTCCTGCAAAGCTATCTCTTGTGGAGGAAAATTTACACACTGTAGAGAATCCCCTTGCCTTTCCAGGTCTTTTTCTGATCCTGGAGAGATTAGCTGAGAGTCTAGCACCTTTTAAATGTCTGAATAGAAAACATTAGCCATATATTACTTCTAAGGGCAGTCATTTTATGTGCATAATGAGAACCTTGGTTTCTACTACCCATTAGCTTAACCCAGACCCTCCTTTCTATTGATTCCAGGTCTTCAAATAATATTAATAACTCCTTCAGCCAACTGCCAACCAGAAAATCTTTGAATCCACCTATGATCTTTAAGCCCTTGCTTTGAGTTGTCCCACCTTTCTAGACCGAAACAATGTATACCTCAATGTACTGGATGTCTTATAAAACTTATAAAACCAGATTGTAACCCAACCACCTTGGGCACCTGTTCTCAAGACCTCCAGAGGCTGTTGCAGGTCATGGACCTCACATTTGGCTCAGAAGAAATCTCTTCAAATATTTTATGGAGTTTGGTTTTTTCATCAACAATCTGTTTCTGGACTTTGTATTAAGTTTTACATTTTTCTGTTTGTTCATTCTTCAACTAGAACAATAAGTGTTCAAATTAAACCACTGGTACATTGAGTTCTCTATTATTACTCTTTTAAAAAATATTTTTTTGTTACTTGAGCTTGTTTTTTTACCTCACTCTAAAATTAACTTTAAGATCACTTTATTAAAATCCAGAAAAGGCACACTAGGATTATAGTCAGAATTATCTTCTATTTGCTTTATTAATTTGGGAGAGACTGACTTGGTATCTCATCAAAATCCAGCTGGGGTGAGGAAGAACTTAAGTATTCCAAAACTTATTGCTCTGGAAATCAGAAGAATTCCTTTCTGGGGCTGGGAAGTGCTCTTTTTGGGGGGCATGGGGTACAACAGCTCAATGACTTTTTTGGTTAGGCAAATTCATCCCCCACCACCAGTGTGATTTGTATGAGGAAGGAAAAGAAAGAGATAGATAAAGTGCTCTACATTATACAAAAATTAATTAGGGGCTGGGCGCAGTGGCTCACGCCTGTAATCCCAGCACTTTGGGAGGCCGAGGCAGGTGGATCACAAGGTCAGGAGATTGAGACCATCCTGGCTAACACAGTGAAACCCCATCTCTACTAAAAATACAAAAAATTAGCTGGGCGTGGTGGCGGGTGCCTGTAGTCCCACCTACTCACGGGGCTGAGGCAGGAGAATCACTTGACCCCAGGAAGCGGAGACTGCAGTGAGCCGAGATCGTGCCATTGCATCCCAGCCTAGGCGACAGAGTGGAACTCTGTCTCAAAAAAAAAAAAAAAAAAAAAAAAAAAAATTAGGAGGTTTGAGTTTCCAGAGGCTATGGCTAGGAAAAAAGAGTTAAAGGGTATAGAAATTAGAGAGGCTGAGGAGATGATACACAAGAAATATTGAGACAGGAAGAGGCAACTCCAAAAGATGGTAGCAGGTGGGACCTAAGGATGAAGGATAAAGTGAGAAATTCTCCACAGGAGATGCCCATGAATGTTAAGATGTCTAATACTTAATTTTTCATTGCGTCTTGTTTTATGCACATATACACTATATATGTATTAGTCTGTTTTCATGCTGCTGGTAAAGACATACCCAAGACTGGGTAATTTATAAAGAAAAAGAGGTTTAATGGACTCACAGCTCCACATGGCTGGGGAGGAGTCACAATCATGGTAGAAGGCAAAAAGCACATCTTACATGGCAGCAGGCAAGAGAGAAAAGAGCCAAGCAAAAGAGATTTCCCCTTATAAAACCATAGGATCTCATGACACTTACTCACTACCATGAGAAAATTACAGGGAAAACCACCCCCATGATTCAATTATCTTCCACTGACTCTCCCCTCCCATAACACATGGGAATTATGGGAGCTACAATTTAAGATGAGATTTGGGTGGGAACACAGCCAAACCATATCAATATGCTCCATCTGTATTACTTCTCCACAATGCTCATCCACCACTAGTATTGTCAAAACTTCAGTAAAAGTCTGACACAAAACAGCCTTGTATTAGTGATGCTTGACAGGGGCAATAAAAGAGAAGAGATCGTCCCAAGTCAAGGGTGACCCAGGAGCAGTCAGAGGCAACAGCCCTAGGAGCCACAACAATGGTTAGTGGGTATATGTGGAGCGTTTAGAATGTGGTAAGCATTCAATAAATGGATGCTTAGTAATAATAGTAAATAAATAATGGATGAATGAATAAATAAATGATCAATAACAAGAGAACAGAGAAACAGTTGTGGTTGAATATATTGATCAAGGGGATCATAAGTCCTTCAATAGTCTCTGGAAATTCTTAAAGATTTTTGAAAAAGTGACAGACTTCCCATAATACATGGAACAGGTTCACCTTATTCAGTTATCAAAAACAACTGAGTCTATAAA